GAGCGGTCGCTCATGTCCACGGAGCTGTCGCTGGGGGGCTCGATGGTGAGCAGGGGGAGGTGCGCCCCGCGCAGGCGGTAGTCCCGGCACTCCGTGCAGGGGGTGCTGCGCCGGCTGTTGTTGCTGCCGCCCCCCTCCGTGTCCCGACTGTCCTCGCGGCCCCCCACGCCCCCCCCCATCCCCCAGTACTCCGTGTCGGTGCTGCTGGGGGCTCGGTCCAGGGACAGGGGCGAGGAGGGCAGGCCGTCGTCCATGTAGAGCGTGACGTCGCTGTAGGAGGTGGCCGTGCTGTCCTCGTGCATAGCCAGGGGCCCGCCCCCCGCGCCCCGCTCCCCGCCGGGCCCTCCTCTCCGGGACGAGGGGGTGCTGCCCCCTCCCCCTCCCCACATGCACTCCCCAAAATCCTCGCCCTCCAGGCCCCCGTCCCCACTGCCCTCGTGGGAGTCCGGGCGGCTCGGGCGGCAGGTGAGGGCGTCATCGATGGAGTCGGCCAGAGACTTCACCTGGAGAGAGAGAGAGAGAGAGAGGGAGAGAGAGGGAGGGGGAGAGGAGGACAGGGGGAGAGCGGGAGAGGGGGAGAGAGATGGGGTCAGTGAAAACAGAAAGACTGACCGGGAGAAAGCAAGACGGGTCCAGTCCGGTCCGGCCCATTGATGCCTGATGCCTCTTCATCGAGTGCTTCCACAGCGACGCAGGCAATTTCATTTGAAACACTCCAGGGGGGATTTCGGTTGAGCAGAGAAGCCCGTTTGATTTTTATTCCTGTTTTAGCGATACTGCAGCAGTCGTTAACACAGCTAGCACCGTATTTACACGCTCAGAAAGTAACTTAAATACAGTAAATGAGTTAAATAAACTCCGAATGAAATGTCGAGGATCCCCCAGGTCTCCCCCATCTGTAAACAACCGATCCCTGTAATAAGTTGTCCCATTTATTTCACACTTAAGCTGTTGATGAACTAAGGAACTAAGGCCATAGGAAATCCCCACAATTATATCGTTTTTAAAAGCCGGCAACGTAGGTGGTCTATGGGCGATTTTGTTCCAGAAATTAATAAATACCGTGAAGAGCAAAATCTAACATCAGACATTCTTCTGCTTGTAGACAGTGCTGTTACCCTCGACTCAGACTGTGGATCGTTAGGCCCCAGCAGTACGTCGCTGATCCAACCAGTGGATCAGGGTCTGATCGATCCCTTGAACTGCACGACCCACGTGTGGAAAAAATCTGCCCCCAAGCAGAGAATGGCTGATTTTCACGAGACCACAATTTCCAAAGGAGGTGGAAAGCTATTTATTGCTATTGCTTTTTTATGGGTTATAGGCACTTTAAATGTACATACCCATGTCTGAACTGTTGGGAACTAATCTCAAGCTGATCACCTTATTCCTTATGAATATTAACTCCCCTAAGTTGCATTATTTCGGACACGTAACCTGGACTTGAAATGGGACCCTCTGAAGTATATTTTGTTACCTACAAGTGAAGCACACAATCTAACTCATTGTCCCTCACCTGACTCTATTCTATCATGTCTTATGAGAAAACCCCCAACTATAAGTCACTGAGTAAATCTTTTACTCTTAAGGTCCTGAACCCTCCATATTTACATTATTCTTAAGGGGAAAAAATCCCTTTCAGGTTTTGTTTTGCTATACGTTGCACATATCTGGACCCTAACCCCAACATATTTTGGGGACCACCTGTATCTGTTTACTTCATTCGCCCCCCTTCTCCTTCCCTGTCTTTTTCTCCACCCCCTCCCTTCTCTCTCTCCCTCCTCTTCTCCTCCCTCCCTCTCCTCACCTGTTTGGAAAAGGAGTCCTCCAGGTCGGTGGGCTCCCCGCGGTACTCGCCGGCGCCCCCCTGTGCGCAGGGGGGGCTGCAGCTGTCGAGCTCGGGGTTGGAGGAGGCCAGGGGGTGCGGGTGCGCATGCGGGTGGGCGTGGTAGCCCTGAGCCTGCCGCTGCTGCTCGCGGTCGTCGAACGAGTACTGCAGCCGCATGTTGGACAGGATGATGCGGCGGGACATGCGGCTCTCGGAGGCCGAGCTGCGCAGGCGCTGGAAGTTCTTGTTCATGCGGTACTGCCGGAACGCCGTCTGGATGGTGCGCGCCGCCCGCCGGCTCAGGAAGTACCCGCCGTACTTCCTCTCCAGCATCTCCACCTGCGGCGAGGGAGAGAGGGCGGGTGAACACACTCAGGCCGCGGGCCGGGCGTGGGGCTGGCGGCCCGCGCCGCGCGGGGGGGAGCGGCCGCGTCACCTTCTTGTCCTGCAGGTCGGTGGAGAGCTCATAGCTGTCGGACAGGGCCTTGCACCGCTTGTTCTCCTCCTCCTCCTGCTTGCGCAGGGCCAGGCTGGCGGGCTGGTGCCGGGTGCGCTGGGCCCAGGTCAGGCTGGGGCTGGGGGCTGCCGGGGGCCCGCTGTCGTAGCGCTCGCCGCGGTACGGGCCCTGGCTGCACGGGCTGTCGGAGAAACTGCCCGGCTCTGCGCTCTGGGGCTCCCCCTCCACGCTGCAGTCACAGGGAGAGAGGGGATAAGGAGGGGGGGGAAGAGTCATCCGTTTAACACACCAGGTGGTAAAAGACCAAAACACACATGAATACCATTTCATTTAAGCTGGATAACAACACATTTTTGGTCAGAATTGAGCTGGTTCGGCTACAGCAATCTGAGAGAGGACAGCCGAGAGCCCGACAGGCTTTCTTTAACAGATCCAGAGGCCAGTGAATCATCAGTCAAAAATAAACACCAGGAACAGTGAGCCTCAAGAGCAACAGTTCGCTGCAGTTCCCAGGGCGTCAGTCAGCTGGAAAGCACCTCCTGGAAAAAGGCCTGTAGCGCCGTTACAAGCCTTTTGGTCAGATTGACAAAAAAAAGATGAAAGCAGTCACGGAAAATCAGATAGAAGCCAGGCAACCAATTGAGCTTCTTGCAGAGCGTCTGTTTTTGAGGTTAATTTTCAGCATTGCAAAAGGGTCCAAAACTCATGGACTTATACGTAATCCGTAAACAACTTTGTGCTTCCTCAGTTTGTATTTACCACATTCCTGTAAATCACTTCCGGTACGCACACAGTTAGCTCAGAGAGACAGACTTTTCAAAACCCATTCCCTCTGAGTATCACCTCCCCCTCTCCCTCCCTCTGCCCTTTCCTGTTGGGTCTCTCACTCACATGTACAGTCGTGCCCTCCGAGGTAGTCTGCATCTCCTAGACGTCCACATGGCGAGGCAGGGTACAGCGCAGAGTCGGAAGAACAGCCCGTCACACACGGTCTGCCACAGACATACTGACACACACACACACCTGCCCTGCCCTGCCCGGCCCTGCCCGGCCCTCCTGCCTGTCTGTGTGCTCAGGTCACATGTCCCTGGGATGGCCAGGGGAAGCCTCTCAGAAGCCAAAGTCCGGAGTTTGGGACAGCAGCCCCAACAGCGGCAGTGGCACAGGAAAAACACACACACCAGCACTCAGAAACAACACAGCCGTCCGCTCTCTCTCCCTGCTCCCTGGGAGGAGGCAGAACACATCTATTCACAGCGGGGAGCTGGTAACTACAAACAAATTCAGTGGCAACAGCTCCACTAAGTCTCTCCCAGAAAAACAAAACAGATCACCCCACACAGCGACAACAGACAGTGACAGAATCTGCCCCTCCTGGGTACGCCGCCTTTTTGTCACTCTCGTTTACTTAATCCTCCCTGCACTCTCCGTTTTCTCTCTCAGCCTCTTCATTCCCCTCGAGGAAACAGCAGCACCCGCAGCCAGAGAAATTACCGACGTGTCCATCTCGCCCAGGCTCTCTCTTTCTTTCTTTTTTTCTCCCCCCTTTCCCTCAATAATTTAAACCAAAACGAAATGAAAGAGCAACGACAGGCACTCCTGCCCACTGCTCTCCCCTCCTCTCTCTTCCTCCCTCGAGCCCCTCTGTCCCCTCCCTCCCTTCCTCGCTCTCAGCCCCTCCCTGCCTGCTTCAGGGCTGCTGCGGGCTCAAGGCCCGTGCCACAAGCGGCACAGGGAAGGGATACCGTATGGAGATGCAGCAGTCTGCTTGTGTCCCTCTCCCTGTCGCTTCCAGAGATAACGATGAGTAACGCCAGCCTGGCAACAACACATTTCACCTGTATTAATCTCTCTGGGAGGTTCTGCACTATCCCTACGGACTTTCCACTAACCTCAAGCACTACAACAACAAATATTTTCTAAGGAAACCGAAATATTCCAAAAGCTACATATCCTGCAATACGAGGGAAAGATGAAATAAGCGGTATTTAAATAAAAAAAAACATTTTAAAAACATATCTTGCTATTTATCAAGGCTACACCTCAGGGACATAGCCCCACTCAGTCCATCTGCCACCACGTCTCGCAGTTATTAAGGAACATTACTCAGGGTTCTAATATCCTGGCCTTGCTATGACGATCCCCGCTGGAGGTCTATGAGCAGTGTGGTCAGCAGTTTGAGAATGAACTTTAAACTGGTTTTATTTATTTTTTGGCTCTTCAAAGAGACCGATCTGGATATTTTCTGTTACGGCTGGAAGTTGTGCCACAAAGAGAGCACAGCTCAGGCATAGCTGTCTGCTCTCAGGGAAGGAAGAGGAGGAGAGAACCTGCAGTACGTAGGAGTGAGAGATGAGGGTGCAGGCCTTGACGTTTCTTGCAGAACTCCAGCTAGGCAGAGTGGCAAATTAATTCCCACCACAAAAAAAAAAGACAGCAAGAAAGATCAGTCAAGAAAAAAGTGACAGAAACTTTTTCAAAACAGTCAGACTGCCTCTCTGTCAAATCTCCCCAGTCCCAGTCTCTCCCCTCTCGCCCTCACTCCCTCTCCTGCCTCTCGTCTCTCTTCCTAGGGCTCTCATCACCACGCAGCTGCGATTTCCTGAGTTCGGGCTCAGCTGAAGCGAGGGAGGCAGGGAGGGGAAAGGAATGTGACAGGGAGAAGACGAAAAGGGAAGGGAGACACAGAAGCTTGGGGTGTAGATAATACAGCAGAACGAAGCGCAGCTACTGTACAGCAGACGGCAACTATGGCACGACTGCTCGCGGTAACAGAAACGCGGACACGCCAGCTCAAAAAAGATGAGCATGAAAGACAGACACACTTCTATAGCTGGAGAACATCCCTACCCCTGGTCTTCTTACAAACCCCTTCACACATTATACATTTTTGTATCGTTTTCAAAAGGATACAGGAAAAAAAAAACACGTTTACTATTCAGGATTTATTTTGCGGTAATCCCCGATCCTCAGATAAGCCTGTCAATCCATGTCAGAAAGGGTTTTGCATCCCCACAAGCCAGATACCGAATGTTCAATATCTGCAGAAGATCTGTGCACAACACAGGAGTCACACGCTGAGGCTCCAAAGCTTGTATGTGTAAAGCAGTTTGCCCAAGCACTTAAGTGAACACAGGCACATGTATAGAAGCCCTACACAGGCTCCAGGCCCGCGTACAAGTCCTGTACTTAGGCCCAGAACAAAGCACTGGCAGCCATGACACTTCAGACACAAACCTGTCAGGCCGTTATTTTCAGTATCTGAACCGTGCGCCGTTACCGAACACAGTGCTCTACACAGGACATGAAGGCCAAGCCCAGGCAGGCTTAATTTCCACAGATCTGGGTCACACGTCTTTGATATTTCACCCAGCAGCTTTCAAACAAGTGCTGCAGGATGCAACACGCTTGATAATGTAGTGTGATTAATTGAACGAGTGTTAATTAAATATCAGTAAAAGTCTGGACACACACAGCCTTGTTATCTGAGTCCCAGGGAAAATCCTGTTTAATTAACACAAGTGGAAAAGAGCCACACCAGAGCAACAGGACCCTAACAAGACAAGCGGACACTCACTCATGACGAGCCTCGTCATTCTGAATTTTATTTACTGCACAGAATAACCAGACTTTTCATGTGCAACTTGAAAAGGTCAACCGTGCCAAAAAAAGCAAATCTCACACATATTGCTCGACTGCCAGTTCGGCTTCTTGCACCTAGATCGTCCCTCTCACTCCTGCTGTAAAACACGTTGACTACGACGTCACAAACGGGAGGCAGAAAGCATCGCCGACCTTCAGTGTTTACTTGGAAAAAAAGTTTAACCTCATGTAAAAGCGCTTTAACTGCGCTTGAGCAGAGAAACAGCTCTCCCACAGCCAAGGTGAACAAAGTGCTTCAGTAGCGTCAATGTAACACCCGAGTTTTACATTCTGGGAGCTACAGATTTTAATCCTGGTGCTACCGTGCCAATCTGAACAGTTGCTGTGTATTAGCTCTGAGCCATCTTGAAGCTCCGTGTTTGCACAGAAGAGCGCAGAACAGCTTCTGAAACTATATGCTCCAGTGCAAATCGTGCTTTCCACTTCCAAGAAAGGCCCAGCCGAAAGTCCAAACCATTTCCATGTTTAACTGGAAAAGCAACAACAACAACAACAACAACATTTTTTTCTTTTACAAAGCAGCCAGAAGTCTGCGCTTCCGGCCCTGGGAGCTCCATAGTCTGGCTGTGTGGCCCAGGGGGAGCTCATTGATTGTTTATCTGTGCGTGAACTGCCTGTTCCGATAACTGGTCCAGACTGAATCTGACAGCAGCACTAAGAGGCCAGGAGGAAGGACGGGCAGCAGCTGATGAGTCAGGTCACACCAGGGGGAGGCCGTGATACAGTATATGTACTGTATACTGTTCGCACACGCGCGCACACACACACACACACACACACACACACACACACACAGCCCCACGCAACCCAGTCCCGACACACTCTGACCCACTCTGACTCCGTACACAGAGCGTGCTGGTCTGACCTCGGGACAGACTCGTTCTGACCGCTGCAATCTTCAAAACTCCTGAGCTGGTTATTCTTGTACAAAACAGACACAAACACTGCAGGGGAAGTCAAGAGCGCTTGGTATAATCACCCGTGGAAGGGCAGAGCAGGGCTCGCGTGTGACACAGTCAGGCCTCTCCCAAGGAGCACACAATAATACTACAGTTTACTAAAACATTTCTTTCCTCGTCCATATACTGTTTACTTTGCTTTACAACAGTCTCCCAATACAGGGAGGGACATTGGAAGACAGGAGTATTGTATTTTAACATGTTTCCCATGTTTTCACTGTGATCTGTCTCAGATTATCATACGTTTACTGAGGTACATCACAATAAGCTTCCTGAGAGTGGAGTCTGTAGGTAAAGAGACCTCTACCGGGCACGCTAGTCCGTTCTAGCAAGTTCTCTAAGCCCCGGTTACGAGAGCCACAGTCATTTTGGTTGATACTATAGGTGTCTTCTAGAGACAGTCACTACAGAATTGGACTACAAAAGCCAACTGGAAGCTGGTTCAGATGAATATCAGAAGGTCCCGTGGCTCTTCGGGACCAGTGCTAGAACATAAAATGTAACACATTGTAATACACTGAAGAGGCAGACATTAGGCCCAGCTCAGATTCTGGGACCTCATGCTGGAAGCTCAAAGCCTTACTAATCCCCTCTAAGCTATTACTCCTGTAGGAACAGCTTGCTTCATTCCTATGCATAATGTATTACATTTTACGTCCTTAAATTTAAGTAATAAGACACCGGAAAAAATGCTTTTCCAAAGCATTTCTGTATCGTGACTGCTAACAACTGTTCCCTTTAAGGCTGAATGATCTCAGCATTTCAACCACAGTTACATAAGAGAGGCAGGGATCCCACATGGAAAGATGGAGAAACTATTAAAAGTTAATGCCTCACCGGCAGCCACTAGCTGGTTTTGTGACACTGTAGAACGACAAGGGGTTCAGACAAGATTCTGGGGAGTGGTCAGCCCCACGCAGAACCCCAGAACCAGAACCCCGAGACATAAACTGTTCCCCGAAAAAACATTCGAAAGCAGGATCCCACTTTTTTTTTTTTATCTCCCAGGCTTTGTCCCACAGTGCAGGCATCAGAGCCATGAATTTAAAACACGACCGACAGCCTCTTTAATCAGAGCGCCTTCACTTCGCTGCGTGTCTCCAGCTGCCTTTTAAGAAAAATTACTCTCCCGAGATAAGTTGGCAGTGCACTGCAATCTCATTTTAGCACTCGCGAACAGACAAGTCAATTAGGGAAAACAAAAGGGGCATCTATAATAGAATTGGTGCGGAGAACGGAGGTCAGCTGGCACTGTACTTGACTTTTACTGTCTGATTTTTATAGATGTAATTAAAATGAAACCTAGGATCCTCTTCTGCGACTGTCTGTGACTGCGTTTCTGCGCCCCGCAGCTCTCTGTAAGCGAGGGGTCACACATTGAAGTCCCCCTAAGGATTAAAGGACTCCATTTTGCACTGAACTTGAACCGAGAGATACAGAGGTTACAGTGATCACCGCCTTTTTATGTTGGAACTGCAAGGCACACCGGTGGCAATACTTTAAAAACAAAGTCATGCTTTCTATAGAACGTGTCACTCTAGCCAAACTGACTGAGGACTGCCTCTTGTAGTCCTGCTGTATTCTCCTATTCTCCTGCTGTACTGTCATGAAAACCACACATGCTGCCAGTGTGTCTGCGTGTCTCTCCGTGACATTTCCGGGCGGACACTGCTCCTTCGCCACCCTGGCCAGGAGGAATCGGGAAGCCCAGGAACCAGATCATCACCTTGGGAAAGCCCATTCCTCTGCCGGGGAAGGCCTCTTCAGGAATACTGGAGCGCCGGAGAAACGGGCTCATAGGGGTTTGTGACGGAGCCGGGCAGAGCTTTCTGTTCCTTTCTGCATGTCATGGCACTTTCATTCCCTCCCACAAACAAGGGGCCCCAAGCCGGACCCCCGCGACAGACAGGGGCCTGGCTCCAGGTCGGCAGAGTGAGACTGGGGGCCAGCTGCAACCATGCCACAGTCTCTAGGCAACCTCCCGGGGGCTCCTTCGGAAAAAGGACAGTTCTAATTTTGCTCAGAGTTGAAATAAAAAAGAAAACAACTACAAGGGTGAAAAAAGCACAAGGGGGGTTTTTGGCACAGAATCTGTGGAGGAAATCCAGCATTTTGTGTTTTTGGAAACATAAATTACTCCTGGCTGCTGTTTACAACAACTGTTTCCTGTGTAAATCGGTACTGAAAACAGTGACACCAGACAATGAGGGAGAAAGGAATTCAGGCTCTGTACAGCGTGTAAAAAAGTTAAGAAACCGCACTCTAGCACTGCTGATGCTATGTTAGTCAGGGCCAGATGGGAGAATCTGGGATTCCTTAACTAGTCTGGGTTCGCAGTGTCCTC